GAGTCCTTCTATTTTAGCTTCCACAAAGTCATGTAGAAAACCCTTATTTTGCAAAATGGATCTGATTCAGTTTTTTTTCTTTTCAGGATTGAGATCTCGAGTAGAGTTCTCTCTTTGCTTATTCTTCCCAAGACCTATCGTGAATTGAGAATAAGTCTACTCGTCAGTAGCGTTTTCTTCTTCGCATATCGCTTTGCTGCTTATGATCCTTGTTTTGATCTCCCTCGTGTAACATTCGTCTCTGGTCAAGATGCTTTCTAAGGATCTGAAGCGAGGACTCATTCCGTTTTGATATTTTCATCACTTTCAATTTGATCTCGTTACCGTAACCCCCACCCACTTCGATATTCTTTTTCCTCCAATCGAGAAATCACCATGGTGTTTAAGTGTCTTATTGACGAGCCGCTTTTCTTACACAACCTTTACTGGTTGAATAATATCGGTGATATGCAGCCGCACTCTTCTACATGTTTCAATGCTGCTTTTATATATATATATATATATATATATAAATATATATATATATATAGGTATATTTATATTTACCTATATATATATATATATATATATATATATATATATACGAGGTGTGTTCAAAAAGTACCCGGAATTACTAATAATTAAATTTCGCGGGTCTGGAGTGTCTGATTGTCAAAAATTTTTTTTTATTGTGTTGGTATACATGCCCCTAAAGTATGATGAAATTTTCAGCTATATTCACTGTTTACTTTGTCTGTGGTAGTCGCTAAGGTTCGACGTGTTTTTCTGAGCTCGGCGATTTTTACAATGGAAGAATTGAAAAGTCAAAGAATTTGTATTAAATTTTGCGTAAAAAATGAAATAAAGTGTTGCAAAGTGCAAAAATTCACCAGATATGGCTCCGTGTGACTTTTTCCTATTCCCAAAGTTGAAGAGACCCATGAAAGGACGGCGGTTTTCCTCGATTGAAGAAAATCGCTGAGAGTGCTCAAGGACATATCAAAAAGTGAATATCAAGGGTGCTTCGAAAATTGGAAAAAACGCTGGCATAAGTGTATTATATCTGGGGGGGACTACTTTGAAGGGGACCACATTAATGTAGACGAATAAATAAATATTTTTTTGAAAATATTTAAATTCCGGGTACTTTTTGAACAGACCTCGTATATATATATATATATATATATATATATATATATATATATATGTATTACGGTATATTAAAGAACGTCTGAATTTAAATAGGATTTAAAGAAAAAGCAGGAAAATGAACTAAATAAAGCTGTTTTGTTCTATGTATTAGAATTGTTATATTATAGAATAAAATTTTGCATCGTAAAACATCAATTATAGAAATAATCGGTATTTAGCTGAACGACAATTTTATCCGTACTTCCGTGATAAAATTTAACGCTTACAGTCTACAATTTCATCCAAATCACCCAGTCTACTGACCACAAAAACACAGAGACACATAGACCCATTGCCAGACTATACGAACAAATGTAAAATTAAAATGAACCCAACGAAGACTTTGGCTATTTTGTTTACATGAAAAGTCCTCTACATTGACCGACTTGGACAAAATAAAAATAATGATTCACAAAATTGAATGGTCCAAGAATGTCGAATACCTTGGAGCGATCTTGGACTTAAGACTCAGCTTCACCAGACATACAAACTTCAAAATTGGACAGACGTTCGGTCTAGTAAATATGCTGAGACTTCTCTTGAACCATAACAGCCGGCTGAACGTAAACAACAAGCGGACATTTTACTTGATATTAATGCGACCAATTATGAAGTACGCCGCTTCAGCATAGAACGCGAAAATATATATATATATATATATATATATATATATATATATATAGACAAAAATATGTTTTTTGAATTAAAATTGAATCAATGAGTCCAATTACAATAAATTGAAAAAATATCTACCAAAACAATATTTAAGATTGTAGTAAAAGTCGATACACTTTTAAACTTCCCGAAGAAGAAGCTTATGTTATCGAGACAAAATATTTTTTTTTTATTCAACAATATATTTACAACTGTCCTACATAGACATTAAGTAAATCTTTTGGCAATTATATGTAAAAATGACATCGATATATAAATAGTGAAAAATACACAGTTGCATTTTTTCTTTATAAGAAGTAATATAATGTGACACGAGTAATTACAAGCTAATTAAATCACTAAATATTTTTCTTTTGAGTCTTCGTGTTGTGTTTGTGGATAGCAGTGCGTTGGCCAACTCATTTGGGTGTTCTTCCAGTCTGTCTTTGTGGTTAACAGCGAATCTTTTAACTTCCTCGGCTACAGTGCGCATATGTGTGTCATCATGGATCAGCCAGGTGGGAGTATATTTTGGGGCGCCTAAAGCGATCCTAAGAACTTTGTTCTGAAACCTTTGAATGATGTTAGCATTACTTTTAGAGGTGGTGCCCCAAAGAGCTATGCCATATGTCCAAATCGGTTTAAGTACAACTTTGTATACCAGTAGTTTGTTGTGTACAGAAAGAAGGGATCTCCTGCCCATCAACCAATATAGTTCACGTCACTTTTTCTCAAGCTGTTGCCTTTTCTTTTTCATGTGAATTTTCCAATTCAGTTTGCGGTCCAGATGCATGCCCAGATACTTTACGTGTTCGACCTGAGGGACTTCTATTTCATTCACAGTTACAGGTGGACATGTCCCGTGTTTGAGTGTAAACGTGATGTGGGATGATTTCTGGCCATTGATCTCTAGCCTCCACAGTTTGTACCATTTTTCTAATGATGTTAAGTGACGTTGAAGTTGCTCTGAAGCAGTTGTGTGATTTTCATGCTTTGAAAGAATGCAAATATCGTCATCGAGACAAAATATGATTAGTTAATCGACGTTGCATGTCATTCTAAATCGAATGGAACCAAATTTGGAAAAAGTATGTGTGTGTATTACATATGGCTGTGTGTGGATGTTAGCCAATTTTTGACCTTTCGCCGACGTTTTCTCAAAAACATTTCATGAGTTAGCGTTTTTCTAATCTGTGCCACGGCCGGCTGAGCCGCTTCTTAAAAATTAGCAGAAAATCTAACACAAACACTATTCGAAATATATTATTTGAAAATCGTGCTGATTTTAGTCATGCCGTTTTTTGTAATTGATTGTTAAAGAAATTTTAGATGACTTTAGTGATACTTGGTATGGTGAAAGAGTACCTGGTCTCAATAATCATACTAAAACAATATAGTTATAGAGAAAGAGGTTCAGTTATAAACATTTATTTGTATTAAAATTATTTTTTGTGCTCTTACTAAATAGAGGAGACTGGGTGCGGTTGTGCCACTTTTTTGATCAGAAATAACTTAAATAATTTACAAGTTGTCTGGGAGTAAAGTTAATAAGTGATAATTTGAACATTAGTCTACATTGAAATCGTCGACGAAAATTTGTATCCGCACACACATACATACACGCACACACACACATACACATACACACACATACATCCATTTTTTCTAAGGTATGCCAAAATATTCAGAAGGTTTTGAAACGTAAAGATATATAAAAAAAATTATTTTCAATTTTTTTGCGATTACTATAACTTGCCCTACGGGAAGTTAAAAATAACAAAATATAGAAAAATAGCAAACGTATTTACAATGATAAATTAGCTAGTAATTTTACTGAACACAGTTCGGTACTTATGTGGTATTTGTTGTGATGTAGTTGGTTTGGTTTTCAAAGTGTAATTACTAAAATTAAATTTGAACCTTTGTGACTTGCCATATCTTACACAAAATGCTTGTGTGCCAATAATAAAAATTGTTTGCTTTGATAATGATTTTAATGACAAAGGATTGTATTTGTATAACTAATATACGGAAATATATTACACTGTTTATGCAAGCATAAACTGTCGCATATAAGTACGGAATCATAAATTATTCAAGAAACTTCAAACCTTTCACTCAATAATTCGAAATGTTTGCTTGTTGTAAAAGTTATCAAAAAGAATCTTTACATAATTAGAAAATTATCATTTTTTCAAAACTTTGGAAAAAACCTTGAATAAATCAAATTTTTTAAATTTTTGATATAAATGACTTTTTTGAAAAAATATTTTTTGTTATTTTCTGATTTTTTTTTGATAATTTTGAACTTTTTCCAAAGCAATCGCGCTGCATTATAGCGTAGAGACAAAATATTGAACCGCGTAAGCGCGGCGTTGCTGTCGAACGGATGAACATTGGGTCGGAACCCATGAAAATATAAACAAAATTTGTTCTCATCAATTAAATATATAATAATTTGATGCGCATATGTTTAATGATATTTGACTGCTAAATTGCATTTTTTTTTAACTTTTTGACATTTCTCGACGTTTTGAAGGTTTCTGATCATTTTGACATACATCAGAAAAATGGATGTGTGTGTGTATGTATGTATGTATGGATACAATTTTTTGTTTACGGTTTTGGGCGCACGGATCAACCGATTTGAATGGTTCGAAAAACGTTCGATTTCTATTGATTGGGAGATATGCTGATTAGTTTTTGGCAAAGGCAAGTCTACCCGTTTCGGAGGTATGGAGCAAAGAGTGCAGAAAATAAAAATAAAGTTTTTGAGAGATCGGGGCATCCGATTTGAATGATCCAAAAAATATTCAATTCGTAATGACGGGGAGAAGGAGTTATTAGATTTTTGACAAAGGCAGGTCCAGTAGTTTTGGAGATACAGAGCTAATTGTTTAAAAAATGGCAGTTTTCGAGAGAACTAAGCATCCGATTTGAATGATTCAAAGAACTGTCTGCTTGTTATAACAAAATAATTGCTTTTGGAAAAAACATTGTTTCAATTCTTTCTTGTTATAGAAAATAATTCTGATTTTTATTGTAATTTTGACTAAAGTTCTAATATACTTTTTTATCGGATCTCCGGAAACATTAGACTTGCCTTCTCAAAATTCGCAATGAAGAAATGTTTCGTACTTATTGCAATTCCACATTAATTTAACATTTGTTCTTACCCAATACAAACACGAGCACCATACGGGCAACATGCCTCCTAGCTCTGGCCTGTGCCCTGCTCTGAGGTCCGGCCAGCTCACCGGGCATCTGCCTTGCTGCCTGCTGCAGTCGGCGAGCCATTAATATATATAAAACCGCGATCACCGCCAGCGGAACCACGTAGTATATCATTGCTTTGGTCACCACATTATATCTGAAAATAAAAATTAATTATAAATAATTGACGAATAGTGTACTGAACAAAGATTTGCGCGAGATTTACGGTGGTGCATGGGTGCAGCTCACCTACATATTACAATGCATTATCAACTATCCGTTGGGTAAGTTACTATTATATAACTTATTCTAATCGCAAAAAAATCGAAAATGAAAATGTTTATATATCTTTACGTTTGAAAGGTTCCTGAAAATTTTGGCATACCTTAAAAAAAATTGATGTATGTGTGTGTGTGTGTTGACGACGATTTCGGAAACACGGATCAACCGATTTGAATAATTCAAAAAACATTGGATTCGTATTGATGAGGAGGCGTGCTGGTTAGTTTTAGGCAAAGGCAGGTCTAGCCGTTTTGTAGATACGGGGCAAATAGAGCCAAAAATCGTAAATCAGTTTTTGAGAGAACAAAGCGTTTGATTTGAATAATTCAAAAACATTTATTTGTATTGGCTGAACAAAAAACTGTTTAAATTTATGAAAAGACAGGTCCAGCGATTATGAACTCTCAATAAATGTAAGTTAAAAAAAATACCATTTGGCGGTCAAAAATATTCATTTCACATATGCACATCAAATTATCAGATATTTTTTAGAAATTTTAATATTGTGTACACGTTTTGTGTCCGTACCAAGACTATTAATTAACTTCCCGTAGGGCAAGTTATAGTAATCGCAAAAAAATCGAAAATGAAAATTTTTATATATCTTCACGTTTCAGAGGTTTCCGAATTTTTTGGCATACCTTATAAAAAAATGGATGTATGTGTGTGTGTGTTTATGTGTGCGCGTGTATGTATGTGTGTGCGGATACAAATTTTCGTCGAGGATTTCGGAAACATGGATGAAGCAATTTGAATAATTTAAAACATTCGATTAGTATTGATAAGGAGACGTGCTGATTAGTTTTTGGCGGAGGTAGGTCTAGCCGTTCCGAAGATATGGGGCAAAAAGTGTCAAAAACGGTACCTCAGTTTTTAAGAGAACAGAGCGTCAGATTTTAATAATTCAAAAAACATTTTACTTGTATTTACAAGATGAAGAATTGATCAAATTTTCATAAGGGCAGGTCTAGCGGTTTCGGAGATCTAACGAAAAAAGTAAAAAAAATTCCATTTGGCGGTCAAAAATGATCAGCTAGTTTTGAAGTTCATTTATATGGTTCAAACAAATGTTCTCGACAGTTGGAATAACAGAAACAAATGTTCTTTCGACAGTATGGAATAACCTATTTGTATGATTGAAAAAACATTCGGCTTGTAGTCGATAGATAGGCGTTTTAGCAAAAGGCACGTTTCAAAGGTATGGAGCCGTTTCGAAGATATGGAGTCGTTTCGGAGATATGGAGCGCAAAGGATGTAAAAATGGTCAAGCAGTTTTTGAGAGAACGGATTATGCGATTAGATTTATTTAAAAAACCTTTTGCTTGTGTCGACTGTTTGCAAAAAATGCTTTTACAAAAAAAATCGTGTTTTGAAAATTTTCAAGAAAGAAATTTCAAAATTATCAAAAAATTCAAACATAAAAGAGAATTGAGCAAGTACGCTCGTCGCCCCATTTAATAAGCACTATAAGCACAGTATGTACTCATAATAAAAAATATATTCGAAATTATTTAAAACAGTTATTGATTACTTTCATTCCTTGAATATTAATTACGGTAAGGGAAGATCCAGCAATTTGCCTTAAGGCACAATGCCATGCACCACTGGTATTTCCTCTTTTAAATTCAATTATAATAAAATGTTTAGATGTTCCAAAATGTCTCGATGTAAGCCGAATCGTGTCGATTAATAAAGCGGATTTTATAATCGCTTTAGTTTTTTCTACTTGGTGCTACTGTCCAAATCAACACAATCTTTATAATATATATACAGGGTGGCTGATATGTATTGCAACTAAATTCAGACTGCTATCATTTCTAAACCGCTCATCAGACAATTGACAAATTTATTTCAGTGATTGTTCATTTAGTTGTTTACAAGCGTACAAAAGCATTTTGATCTATTGCATTCAGAAAAAAAATTATTCCTGATGGAAGTCAAGCGTGATAGTGTGATTGCTTTATATTTGGATGGAAAACCACAAGTGGCTATCGTTAGAGCCCTCCAGCATTTAAATGCCAACAAATATTTTGTTTCCCGTACCATATTTCGTAACCGTGATACTCTCAGTGTTGCACCGCGTCCAAAAAGTAGACAAAAAAAAACACCAGAAGCACCAGAAATGATCCAAAAAGTGAAGACAAAAATTTATCGAAATTCGTGTCGCAGTGGTAAAGATATGGCTCGTGAGCTTAACATATCGCGAGTACGGATGCAACACATATTGAAAAATGAGCTTAGACTAAAGCCATTGCAGTTCCAAAAAGTGCAAGAGTTCATAGCTGCACAGAAAAAAAGTTAGACAGGAAAGAGCCAAAATTCCCCAGAGCCACTTTCGTGCAACGTGCTATGGGTTTTTGGTCGTTTGAAAGCCATAATTCGTGCCAAAGGTGACCAATTAGGACAAATCTAAACTGATTCAAAAATTTGATACTATTTCCGACATTTTTGTTTTTAAACAATAAAATTTAGAATAAAAATGAAAACAATATAGCGCTTTACTTTGTTGCATTATATATCAGCCATCCTTATATATATATATATATATATATATATATATATATATATAGATATATATATATATATATATATATATTAGGGTGGTCCTTAAAATGGTCATTTTCGAATATCCTTGCTCCCAGGGGCTCAAATGGTTCCAAATTGATAAAAAACAATTCTCTGAAAGTTTTAGCTCTTAATATTAATGTTTAGATAGAGCGCAATTCAATCGAAGTTTGTATGGAAAGAGCATGGAAAAAATTTTGAAAGTTAAAAAAAAATGTTTTAGGTTTAACTTAGCGACAAATAAATGAGTTTTATTCATTCATTTGTTCGCTAAATTACATCTAAAAAACATTTAAAAATTTTTGAAAATTTTTCCATGCTATTTCCATACAAAACTTTGATTGAATTGCGCTCTATCTAAACGTTAATATTAAGAGCTAAAACTTTCAGAGAATTGTTTTTTATCAATTTGGAACCATTTAAGCCCCTGGGAGCAAGGAAATTCGGAAATGACCATTTTAAGGACCACCCTAATATATATATATATATGTTTTTTTGTTGAAGTACAAGCTCAAGGACCAGATATAATTAGTGGCTCTATCAACCGTTTTAAATGTAAATATTGATTGATAACAAATAGATTTACACTTATTTATTTATAGAATATAATTTACACTGTTTGTATAATAAGGTTTTAGTATTGATATAATATTGGAATATTTGAATATGGATAGCTTGGCGACCGGGTTAAGACTATATTGTTAGTGCCGGCTTCAGGTATCTAGCAGGACCCTTTTAGTTAAATCTTGAGATGCAAATTGCCTATGCGTCGTTGCAAATGTAATATTTCTTATTTTTAGAAAAATGAGTGCAGCGTTGTCACGTCTAATTTGGCGTGAACATTCTCCCCCCCTTGAAATAATATAGGGTATATGATTTCAAAATTAGAATTATAGTTTAACACTTTGAGTTAATAACAGTCTTTTGGTTTGATTTATATTGTCTATTGTTTTGGTAACACACAAATTCGATTAATTGCACGTTTGAGTACACCATTTTGTGTCTTGATTGTCACAACACGCACAAGTCCATCATCTCCTGGATGTGTGTCAAGAATACGCCCCAATCGCCAGTGTAGTGGAGGTAAATTGTCTTCTCTGACCACTACCATATCGCCTACCTCAGCCTGTTGCAATGGTTGAACTTGCCATTTTGTTCTTGCCTGCAGCTCCGATACGTATTCTTTGTGCCAACGCTGCCAAAAATGTTGCACAAGTTTCTGTAGTCGTTGATACCGAGAAAGCCTGTTATCAAGGGTTTCAAGCACTGATGGATCGGGAGAAGATGTTAAGGATTTTCCAATAGGAAAGTGACCAGGAGTTAAAGGATCATAGTCATTGGGGTCGGAGCTTAAGGGAGAGATTGGTCTCGAGTTTAATATAGCTTCGATCTGTGTCAAAACCGTATAAAAATCTTCAAAAGTTAAAATAGCATTACCCAATACTCGCTTTAAATGAGCCTTGCACGACTTTATGCCCGCCTCCCAAATTCCTCCAAAATGAGGAGAGTTTGGTGGAATGTGCTTCCATGACACGCCTTCGTTGGTCATATCATTAACAATCTTATTTTGATTTGATTTTGTTTGCAAAAATTTATAAAGCTCCTTTAATCCTGATGCTGCGCCTATAAAATTCGTTCCATTATCGGAATAGATTTCGCGAGGTTTTCCGCGTCGCGCCATAAATCGTTTAAAAGTGGCTAAAAAACTATTCGTAGTTAAATCAGATACTAATTCGATATGTATTGCTTTTGTAACAAGGCACACGAACAAACATATGTAAGCCTTAATTTTTTTGGATCCTCTTGTTTGACGATCTCTTAATAAGATAGGACCTCCGTAGTCTACTCCGCATATAAAGAAAGATGACTGCGGTGTAACGCGATATTTAGGCAAATTGCCCATTACTGGATTAATGAATGTGGGTTCTACCTTAAAACATGTTACGCATTTTTTCACGATCGATCTTGTCAGGTTTCTGCCTCCGATAGGCCAATAAGTATTACGCAACGCATTTAATAACATCTGTGCTCCGCAATGATATAGTTTTAAATGCTCATGCCTAGTTATTAGAATAGTCAATTGATGATTTTTTGGTAGTATTATCGGATGGCATTTATCATACGGTAAATTTGAATTCTTTATCCTACCGCCGACGCGCAATATTCCATTTTTGTCTAAAAACGGTGTTAATGATTTTAATTTCGACGATTTGTGTAATGCTTCCCCACGCGCGACTGTATCTATGTCTTGTTTGAATATTTCATATTGTGATATTTTTATTAACTTGTTTAGTGAATTATTGAATTCAT